TGTGTCAAGCTTTTTGTGAAAGAGAAGAAATTAATCTCGTTTCTCTTACATTCTCTTATAAATTTCTGGATGGTTGTGGGGGTGGATGTGTATGGGGGAGTGGTTTTTTATTGTTATTTCCCTGTCTGCTTCCAAATTCTTCGGTTTCTTGTCTTGATAGCAATGCTATTGTAATTATTCATGTTCTTGCTTTCTGTTCTGCATGTATTATACAGATTGTGATGGAAATAATACCATTTTGTTTGTTGACTAACGTATGAAGAAGGTGGATAAAAAGCTGGATTTTAGGCTTGGGATTTCAAGATTATTTATTAATGTGTTTTATAACTTTATAGAAGACATAGGAGAAATTATAAAAATCCTTGCAGGGTATATATTATTTTAATTTTCATTCAGAATAATATTTTTATAGAGTTTGTACACTCATACACAGACTCACATGTACATGGCCTCATAATACATATTGCTGACCAGTGATGTATACCAGAATACTAAAAGATAAGAAAAAATTCAATGTATTAATAGCATAGACAATAATTTTATACCCAAGCTCAGCTACTTATTTCCGATATTAAGAATACCATTTCCAGAATACATATTGAGAATATTAACTCTGGTCACAGATTTTTTATATTAAGGGAGGAAAACAGAATGCTGCAGAAATTCCAAGCTTTTCTTTCACATTGTAGGTCTTAGTTTTCTTAGTCGCTTTATTTGTATTGTTCTCTGTATGCAGCAAGTTTTGAACTAAATTAAATCACCCTCTAAACACAAAATTTAACTATAAAAAGTTGGATACAGTGCAGACTTCTCCACACGTTTCTCTGTTTCAAGAAACATATGACATATTCAAGTTAGACCTTTTATCTTCCCATCATCAACAAATAGATTTAAAAAATAAATCACTGTGTTGAATCAGGTTCCTTATGATCCTCTTGCATATAAATTGACAAAGAGTTGCGTAGCTAACTGGGATTTACAACAATCAGGATCAGTGTTTCTTGGGCATAGAATCTGAAAACCAAAGTGCAGAATCTGAAAGACCACCCTGAATATAAATGGTGTGTAACCATCTTCCTTCTTTTTGTGTACTGGCTTGCTGTTAAGAACACTTGCCCTAGGACTGGAAAACATGGGTATGAGGTACTCATTAGGCAGTGGGAAACAGGTCTCAGGTACTCCTTAGCCTGATGAGATTTGAATCTCCAGCTTCCACATGCCAAGCTATTCACTTTGGGTATGTTTCAATCCTCTTTTTAAAGCTGACTGCTACAGCTGAGGGCACAAGTTGCATCAGTTTTGAAGAAAAACGTATGAAAAGAAAATTGACTCTATCTAGAATTTAGGGCAAAGTAGTTCACAGATTCTTATCCCTTCTCCTTTAACTGACAATGTATTATCTAGAAATAGTCTAATTTAAAGTACATAAGTAGCATCCATATTCTCCACTGAACAAGGGTGGTGCTGTCTCAGAGCATGCCCAGCAAACAAATTTGACAGACGGCAGATGACATTTTTGTGGATCCCAAAGTTCAGATTCTTATGGGTTTGCGTGTTGATTTGGAGACCTAGAAAGAATTTGTTGTTTTCCTGTAATGCTCAGCTCCAAGGACATTTCAGGTGCCCAGGCTCTTCTGAATAAGTTTTCTCTACTTAGATGCCCAGATACTGTAGGAAAATGGCAGTAGGTTCCCCTGAAAGCTGCAGTGGATCTGGCCTAAGTGCACAGTATATGTGTGGATGATTAACTGGCAACACCTAAAAATCATTACTATATTAATGCCAAACGTAAGACTATTCCGATCTTAAATTATTAACGTGTGTGTCATGTAAAAAAAAAAAAAAAAAAAAGTCAAAAAGATTGAAAGCTTAGAAGTGATAATCTAATGAGGGTATGATACTTCAAATACCTCTGAGATTAATTTGTTTTTTGACGGAGTTGTGCCTTCTTTGATGTATTCCTTTTTTCTTTGATATTCTAAGAGTAGTCTGAGTTTAACAATTAAGGATTATAGGTCTGATCTATTTCAAAGATGCAGAATGCTTACAGCTCTTTGGAACTTCTATGGAATTTGTGAGTGTTAGTACTTCTACAAAATCAGGTCCAGGTTTCTAAAAAACCCAGAGCCCTAATTTAAGAAAGCTATCAAGCAAATGCATGTTAATGATACTGGTACACCAGATTCTCAAACACATAATGTTCATAAGTGGAATAGAAAAGTGATAATGGTGTGTTTTAATTCATAACATAGTATTTTTCATAAGAATTAAAAAGAGGGATGTTACTGTTAAAAAGTAAGAATATGGGTATGTTCCAAATAAGTAAATAGAATACAGTTTTCTACAACATTATTAAATAAATTATTGAACAGTGTCTGCCCATTATGGGCAGACATTATTGAGAAAAGAAACCTCTATTAATACTAATATGGAACAAGAATACTCTGTAAATAGTATATATAATTTTAAGAAAAAAACCTCTTTTGTGTGAACTTTTGGTCACTTTCCTGTTTCAATAACGTTTCAATAATTAACATGCAAAAATAAATAATAATTTTTAAATAAAATAAATTTTTATTTAATAAACCAGTTTGTTTTAAACATAATTCAGTCAAACCTTCAAACTGCAACTAAGGCAAATTATTAACAACCATTTTGGAAAAGTAACTTGCCAAGTTAAAAGTATTCATTTTTTTGTAAGTTTTGCCATAGTGTATTGTATGTGCATCTTCTTTTGACCATCACACTGATACACAGACTTAGACATGAACTTCTAATATTGATTTGAAATCTGTATATTGCTTTACCCTTTAATGGAGGAAAAGGTAACAAACATTTTAGTAAATAAGTAATACTGTTCTTTTTAATAGGAAGAAGTAATATTCCTGAGATAGATGGTAATACTGGACAAAGTTTTCTGCAAACAGAGATAAAAAAACTAAAGATAACTTCTCGGGGAACATATGCAAAAGGCAAAAGGCTCAGTCTTTTGGACTGCTCTTACAGAGTCATGCAGAATATTTCTTACTCCTGTTATAAATCAACATCTTCATCTGAAGAGCTATAAGGGTATCAGTGTAGTTCCAGGCTTGGAACCTATAAATTTTCAAAAAGTAAAGGTCAGAAAACATTATTCCTGAACCAGAAAAGGAGGGGGAATATCATAACCTTGGAAAAGAAGAAAAGGCTCCCACTTGAATCAAGGAAGGTGATGAACTCTGTAATTAGGACTCTATATTTTAATATTTGGCACTGATTGAGCAGTACACTGTTCGGCCTTTTTTAATCAGCCCTCACAACGAGCTACAGTGACTGTCCATCCAAGTTTTTCCACATTCTGTCTTCCTAAGCAGGTAAATGCGAATCCCTTAAATCAACTGAAGATAAATTCTGTCTAAGTTCTAGTTTTTGAGTCAATAGCAACACATATATGACATTCTGGGCCAGGACCTTGACTAATTTTAATATTCCAGTTACAGGTTTGACAATGTAACATGTTCAGCCTAAGGAATCAATTTGGTTTGAATAGAGATTCTCTATACTAGGATAAATGGAGAGCACAACCAAAAGACATTTGTATTTTAAAGTATAAAAAGCTGCGGTACTTTAACAATATTCCCTTAGAGCTAAAAAATGAAAGTGATGAGCTCACTGCAAACCAGGTGAAATGAAAGTGAGGAACTACATTTTTCAGCTTATGCAAAATAAATTACAATTTTTACAGAAGGTTAAGTTTAAGAAATACTAGCTCTTAAAAGATGAGTTGGTGAATAGCCTGTAACTTCAGTTTATGTTGTCAAAACATGAATAAAAACTAAGGCTTAAAATAAAGAGTATGAAGAAACTATTCACCTCAAAGGCAGTACTGCATCTCCCTCTGCCTCCCTTTACAGTTATTGAGAATTTTATCATTCATAGTGGGCAAATGCACTTGATACAAAGTGAGGTGACCTATGTTCTTTGCTGGTTCAAGTGCAAAATACAGGTATGCTCCTATAGTTTACTAAGCAACTTCTAGTAGCTGCTGAATTCACCTATCATGAAGAGGAAAAAAAAAAAAAAAAGGAATAATCAGCAAGAGGGAGGATAACTCAGTGCTATCTGAAATGACGTTAAAGAGAAAAACAAAAAACCTTTATAAAAAAAAAAATTTTCTTATGTCTCATAAAAGACCTGAGCTGAAGGTGCCAAAAAGACAACCTATAAAGTTGACATATAAGAGCAGAAAATAAAAAGTTATTTTAATCCATGAATGTCCCCATGCAACAATGATGCTTCCTCTGCAGGCACTTCCAATTCTGGCATCCTCCTCCTTATTCTTCAAAACGTATTTGATATTCAGCAGAATGATCTGATAAACTAAAAGATCTCCAGAATTGAACAGCTTTTTTTCCATAATGTTGCTATTTTGTTCTCTGTCTTTAGGTGTCTGCTGTGATCCAAAAATAGGTAGTAATTTATGAAAAATAATATCATGTATGCAATTGCTTTGAAATCCATTATCAGAAATTGCCATTAAAATGTCTTAAAAATCATATCAATAAAAGACAGATCAGAGGAATAAGACTGCCATGTGTCCATTCTTGCATATAAAGGGGGGGATTTAACCTTACAGATAGTAAGTAGAACTGTAAATGTAAATGAATGTGTATTTTTAATGACAGAGATAGCACAATAAGCAACATTCACAGATGCTATCACAAGCAATTTATGTATATTTCAGAATAAAAGAGAATCTTATTTCCCAGTAAAAATAAATTTATTCAGAAGTTTTAGTCTCAAAAGAGACAATAAACCATAAAATTAAAAATTATTTTTAAAGTATTTCTTAAATATATCTGAAGAAATTCAGTTAGTTTGACTCTGCAAAAAAATAAAGTAATTGCCTTTTTTCTTTTGTAAAAGGCAATAAGCTCAAAGTTTATCTGAGGAATCTTTAAAAAAAATATACATATCTTAAAATAATAATGAAAGACAGGAGTATCTTTTTTCCTCCCCAGGTAAAAAAGAAGAATTTTCTCAGCTGGATACTGTTTTAGATGAGAAATTACAAAGGAGAAAAGACTTTACATACCAATGGCTTCATACACAGCTTTTGGATTATGAAGCAGCCAGTTCCAAAAATATGAAGTGGTGAGGTCATTGCCTTTAAATTAGATTTTTTTTTTTTTTAATTTTACATTTATCTTGTAAAGTGAAACTTAGGTTAATAATTCTAAAACAAACATGACTTTGTAGCTAGCAGACAATACACCGTATTTCCGGGTCCCAAACATGGTACTCCTTAGAATTGGTTTAGTAATAATTCTACAGATACTTCTTCCACAGTGATAATAAAATTATATCTTTATACTAGCAATACAGTTTTGATATACTAAAGAATGTAGAAAAAGTGCTTTTAAGTAATATATTTTATAACTTTATTGGTATGTATTTTGGTTTTATGTAATTAAATCAACTGTAACATTACCTATATTGTTAGATTTGATTAAGGAAGTAAACCCCCCACTTTTTAACTAGATACTATGGGGGTTTTTATTTTATTTTCAAAGCATAAACACAACTTTTACATCTTATAATATACTTTAGCAAAATGTTGTAGACATCCTCTTTCTATATTTACTTTTGGTTTTAAACGGATAAAATATCAGTACAATTAAAGAAAAAGTTAATCTCATTCCCTAAACTAACATGAAGACAGAGTAAGTATATTTTGGTCATGAATTTGATATAAACCATTGATATCTTAGTGAAGTCATTATTAGACACAATGCCAAGCACCTCTGATAAAACCAAACAAGGTTAGGTAGCAAGCAATGGATTTAGTGTAAGCATTTTAAATTTATTTTTATGAAAAATGTATTTAATTTGTAATGAAATGGACTGCATATTGTTATGTTTTGTATGGGAAAATATTGCATAAATGACTGTAGGAAGTATATGCAGCACATAGAACATATTTATCTGTCAGTCATGTTCCATAATAGTGAAACACTCCAAATGTTTTTTTAAGATAACTGCCATGACGTTTAATTTGAATTAAAACACTGGAACAGAACATGTAATAATATCTGAAAGTAAGACATGGAAATTTATAAAATAATTTTTAAAAATGTTATTATATTAGCTCTTCAGATGTGTGCTATGCACTAGTATTTGTACTGACATTTTTAAAGATTATGATGCTGGTTTTGCATGTGGCAAAAGTCCCACTGATCTCCATGGAATATCACTAGTAGACTGTTTAGAACAGCTGATATATTTATGTAACTGAAAATAATTTTATTCCTACATAAATAATGTGACAACTGATTTGGCTATAATTTATGTCAGTATGAGCAAAAATTCATGCAGGATTGCATTTATTAACATTTATATATTAAAACTAATAATGGAATAAACCATTGATATTTATTGATTTTAATAATAAGTACAAAAAATATTATTTACTCTGATACTTTAACATTATCAATTAATATTAATTACTCTGATACACCTTAACCACAGAATTATTTTAAACAGTATCTTTTCTACTTAAGCAGGAGTGTTTCCAGGAAAATATTCTATGCAGGTACTATGAGCTCGGTAAAGTGGGATTTACTGAAATTTCTATTTTATATTTTTCCCAGCTGTCATTTTTTGCCTGAGTTAGATCCTGTGATACGTGACAGTAGACGAGTACAACTTGTGGTAAGAACTTGTTTCCTTGTGGGATTTTGCAGAATTCAGCTACGCCTTGATGGTGTTTCCAAATGCATACTTGGTGTAAAAGCAACCAGGAGATTTTTTTGATTGAATATACTTCTTTAATGTTTTCTCTATTTGGCAATCAAGTTGCCCATTGATGGAGATCAGAAGGAAATTGTTGAGCACAAGAAGCCATGTGTGTACACAGGGTTCTGGTTTCATAATCTGATACTGGTTTTGTTTTTAAGACATAGAATACTACTCTGTGTTCTTGAAAGCTTCTAAATCAACCTTTTAAAACATGTTAAAAAAAAAAAAGATTCAGCACCAATAACATTATTGACTGAAAATATGTATTCTTGTTATTCAGACAAGTTTAAATGTTCTTGAAATCTCTAAGTCACATACCTAAATAATTCTAAATTGCCCACAGTGTCATTTATTAAAAGACAGTAAACTCGACTTGTATATTAACATGGTGGCATTATTAAGAACAGTGTATAAAATCATACTTACTCCTACAATTTATTTTCTGTATTTTTTATGTCATAATATGCCCTCTACTCTTTTAATTATTCATTCTTTTCTTTGATGCATTTCAAAGAAAAATGGTATTTTCTGAAATGGGTGTTTCTGTAGGTTGGCAGGAGGGAGAATGTAAGCAGTTTAACAGTCTGAAGATTTAAAAAATTAAGACTCAGTGTCAGAGGTACCCAAAAGTTCTTCTGATAGTGAGGAGTGTTATGATGCCTACAGGTCAATTTATACTATATATATATTGTGTGTGTATATATATACACACACACACACTTTACATTTTATGCCAAATCAGCATTATTGTTGTTCATATGATTATGTGGGGTCTAAAAAAATGGAGCAAAACCTTACAGACTATATAGAATTAATGTCTTATATGTTCATACACATAAAGTAAAATGTCACATAAAAAGTATTTCCCAGTTAGATGATGTGTCGTATGCCTCATTCTGTACTTAAGCAATCTTGGCCCTTTCTAACCTCTGTCTTCCTTAGCTTCTCCACCTATGGAATATGCATGTTTTGGAAACACTTCCATAAACTCCTCTAAAATTCACTGTTGAAAAAATGCTTTTAAGACTTAGATGTTACTATTACTATTTTTTTTTTAAGTCAGATTTTGTCAAAGTTTTTTCTCTGGTGTGGGTTGTGTCCAATTCTTAGGTTCCTGTTAAAGTTTACTGACTGAAATCAGGAACCCATTGTGATGAGTTTTGCTTGCAGCAGCACTAATACTTATTTGTTAGGTAAAGTCTAAAACAGTAATTGCTCCAATTTGAGCAAATCATAATCTAATAATGTTATCTAAATTACACATTATGTAATTATAAGTAAACATATGTATACATAGGTAGATTTTATCTTATTTACAGTGAGTGGTTCTGTCCACAAAATACTGCTGCAATCCCACAACAGTATTATGTGGTGTGCCCAAATAACTGGCAATGTTATGGGATTGTCACAGTCTGTGCCACATAATTACATAGCTGTTTTACATGAATGAAATACAGAGAAAAATGCAATAGAAGGTAAAAAAATAGAAAAATAAATAAAATATGTGGAAAGCAGTGCTATATACACTATGAAGTAATGATGTGGTTTGTATACATAGATGGTTGGAGAATTATTAATTTAAAATTTTTATGGGATCTCTTAAAGGTTGAAATGTGAAAATACTAATGCTTTTGCACAGTATCTCAGTTAAAAGCTATGAAATCATTACAAAAATTAACAGCTGCAATCATTATCAAAAAGTAGGAATAGTTATGGTAAACAGGAAAATATACATTAACAACAACAAAAAAGATAATTAGAAAAGGAAAACATTCCTGGACATTTCCAGTAGCTTATTCATATGTCATATGCTCAATCATAGTTTCCTGCTGTGTAATAAGGATCCATAATTTGTTTGTGTTCCATAAACCTGCATTCTGAAAGTACTAGATTAATATAAAATGGTATTTCAATGGTTGCATATTAACAATAAAGTCTTAGCCCTTCCCATCAGGGAATAAACCCTATGTAGTAACCTGCAGTAAATCTAAGACCTTATTAAATTAATCTTAAACATTTTGATGATTTTACTTACTACTGCATAAGTGCCTAGGAAGGCATGCTGACTTACTTTAAACTGAAATTAATATGTTTTTGCTGAATGACAGGTAGGATAGCCTTCCTGATTCATCTTTATATATAGTTTAGGTTACCTGCATGGTTAACCACTTCATTATTAATCAGTAACTCCAAATCATTATGATGTAACTTGAATTTAAAAGCACTTTTTACCTCAGAAGGTTACAGAATATCTTGATAATTTAGCATAAGAATACACAAATATTCAGATGCAGAGCTGTATTCAAGGCAAAGACTCCTCCTGATTGAAATTAATTTCCAATTAGTTGGAAAAATAAAGGTGTGTAGTAATAAAACTAAGGGCAAAAAGTCTGAAGAGTTAAGTATGGTGATCACTACAGATAGATGTCCAATACTACACTGAAAAAGTGTACCAGTATCTTAAATTTCTTCCAAATTTTTGGATCTAAGGTATAAATTTAAAAGGGAAAGTTTTAATTAGCTTCAGAGGACTTTCAATCAGGTTCTTTACAAACCTGAAATTAAGCTTGTTCCAGTGATTAATATAACCTTAAATATTACTCTGACTGTAACTAGGTGAAAAGACTTATCTTTATTTGAAATAAAATAAAAGATATTTTACATCAGAGAGCCAGAAAGCCCTATTAAAGTCTACAGTATAACACTGAATATTGTTGTCTACAAGATGATGAAGCCTCAGATTCTATGATGATAGGGATTTCATGGAAAGGTTAATTTAAAGTGCTGTGGCCTCCTGGGTCTTTGAGAATTGGGACATTAGAAATCTGCTGTGTGTTGAAACAGGTTAGTTGGAAATAAGAATGATCAATTCCATTATTAGTTTGAATACCTCTGAGCATCACGATGGTTGCATTATTTCTACTAAGGAAAGACTAAAAGCTTCTATTTAAAGATTTTGAACATACAGAGCTCTCACGAGCTTAAAGCAGCTGTAAATACTAAGGCCAAAAATACAGAGTTGGCAGGATAAAATTGTTACTCTTCTCAAAGTTTCTTGACACGCTATGGAAGAGAAAATAAAATATTGATGTTAACAACGATAATACAACCTGCTACCTGTTCAACCCAAAATTTAAAATCATGTTTATTAAACATATAAAAGGCAAGCGTCGGAAAACAAGGAATAAACTTTCTGTGCTGACACAAAGACTACACAGTCACTAAGGAAGAGTGTAAAATCTCTGTATCTTTGGAGTTGTTGGTTTGAAAATGCATGAACTTTTTAATGAATTTTACATTAAACAGTGACTGGGTAAAGACAAAGAAATGAAACAGGTCTCCATTTCATCGGAGTTCACTAAGTTAGACTGGACTACAAAGCCTGTCTGCACTGGTGCAATGCTGCTCTTGGTACAGTGAGCTGGTTTAAACAGGAAGTCTGGAAATTGTCTCCTCCAGAATAGCCTACAACTTTATAGTAATGTCATTTTCCTGAGAAAAAGGGAGCTGCAAGCTTCAACCCCCCAAGGAAGGAGTTGAAACCCAGTCTCTCAGTTCCTGATTGAGCAGTCTAGCTACCACAATATTAGGCAAAAGTTTGGTGACATTACAACTAGCACAGTCTTTCCTTTTTTGGTGGTTTTTTGGTTTTGTTGGTTTGGGGTTTTTTTTTAATAAGAAATGAAGTCTACTCAGACACCTTCCTTCTGAAAGGATTTGATCTTTTTCAGCCCAGATAGAGGACGGACTTAATCTGCCTTCTGGACTCTGCTTATGAAGTTCCGGAGACTAGAAATTTCCTTACGTTCAGTACTTCCAGCTGACTGACTCTACACTGGGGATTTTGTAGATCTCTCTTCCAGTGTCTGAGTCTTCCCTGTCATTGTTACTGGTCCCCATTATGTAGTCAACCGTGTTGTTACATGTTTGCTTTTGGTGTTGCTTTTCATTTCAAGGAAAAACAGTTGTTGTTGAGTAAATGTGAAATCATTTCTGCAAAGCTAACAATCTGCCATTTACAGCATGTGGTACCTTTCAGGTCAGTATTTTAACCTGTGCCCTACATGTTCCCAAAACAAGGACCCATTGCTAAAATGAAATATTATTTTCATTGCTGTTTTGCCATATTAATGTGCAGGTAACATGCCTCATGCCAAAATGTACCACCACTGGATGTTAAAGTTTATAATTAACAGAATACTCTTACCTAAAGTATAATTAAAATGCTGTCTGATGGTTATGATTAATTAACAAACAAAAAAAAGATTAAATTACTTACTAGGCCCTTGACTGATTCAACTGATACATGTCCTGGATAAAACATAAATATTGCAGAAAATAATCCAATATGACATCTCTGACATTCAACTATAACTTAAATTATAGACTGGTCAGTAAATGATCTTAAGCTGTTTAAGGTTTCATCAGCCATCTGCAAGATTGATTTTCTTCAAAATTACTGTACTAAAATGTTTTCTTTTGTTGTTGCACTGACTTAGATCACAAACCGCAATTTTAAGATCGGCTCTTATTTACAAAAATGCTTTGACATAGAGCATTTGTTCAGCCTAGGCAACAATAAAGGATTGTGGTATCATTTTGAAGAAGGTTGTTTGACAGACCCTGTTTGTTTATTTGGGGTAATGTGATCTGCATTCAGAAAATGTTATATTTTGTTTCATGATTGTGTACATTCTCTCCCACTGCTTCCAGGCAAGCCCTGTAAGCAGAGAAGACACGGATTTAGACCTTGTTTCCATGGCCAGTGGAAGTGCTTTGACTGAGAACAGAGAAAAAAATAAGCAGCAACACAGACACTCAGCAAGATCTTCAAGTAAGTTATGGTTTCTTTCAATATCAGTTTTAAAGATTACTTTAACTGAGCATGGAATCCCTAATAACACATGCTACTTATCCTTCTGTTTCTTCGTTGCCTAAAACCTTTCATGTTTTCTGTAGTTCTGTTTAAAAACTGAATCATTAATATCAATAGACTTTCCTTTCGTGATTTTAACGGGAAGTTCCCTGTGACATATGCTAGATCTTCTGTACTTACTATAGCTCAGTGGCAGAGGATCCTTTTAAAGCCTTGTATTTGTACCACTCTAATATCATACAAATTGAAAAAATAATTATATATAGATAAAAAGAAAAAATAAAACTTGAAGGTCATAAAATGGTAGCACTTTATGTTTCACATTTTATTTTGTGTAATATAACTGAAGAAGATATGAATATATTTCTAATAATATGACATACTATATTTTGTCATTTGTGTACGAGTGTCTTTTTCAAACAAATAAAACTCCAAACCCCAAAAATATACATTACAGAAAACATAAGCAGTAATAAATAACACTGGCAAAATTATTGAGATTCCTAAAACTGTTTAAGTAGTGAAGTTTCTTGAAATGTTTTATGTCAAAATAGAAATCAGGTTATTTCATAAATTATATGTAATTGCTGGATTTGCTTTTTGATTATGTTTTCATATATGCTGACTTTTCACTGTGAATGAAAAACAAAAATCAAGGAAAACATCTAAAAATACTTGATATCTCTATTTTTCTGACATATTTTTTAAAGCCTTTGCAATAAGGATTTATTTACATTATATTAGTCCACCCCAGGCAAAAAAAAAAAAAAAACCAAAAACAAACAACAACCAGTGAATACAATTTATCCATGCTTATTCACTTGATTTACATTCCTAAAATTAGATTAGATAAAATTTACCATTCTAGTCTAAGATAATTGCATCCATGGAGAAAGAATGATTCTTTCTCTCTGTCTGCCATGTTAAAAAAGAATGAATTGTGTCCTGTTTCTCTCCATTGGCTAGTGATGAAGCCCCACCATTTAAATTAGATGTGATTCCTAACTGCTAAGATCCTGAATTTAAATGAGACAAGTTTAAGCTACTAATTTCAATAGCAACATTTTCATTATGTTCATATATTCAGAATAGAATGTATCCATATCTTGAATAATTGAGGTAAAGAGTGCACACTACATTCATATTACTGTATAACTGCTGTCTAGGTTGAGATTGTAACCTATGCTATACCTCCATCCAGAAAAATAAATAAGAATAAGCTGCTTTGATGAAGATAGGTATGTAGAACTTGTCTGTGTTAGGAGCTTGGGAACAGTAATGAAAAAAAGTGTCATTGCATTATACCTTCTAAAAGAATAGACTAGGAAAGGAGCAGAAAAGATCAACTGGCAGAGTCATGTGTGAGAGACAGAGAGACAGTTTACAGCATTTGGTGATATATATGTATTTTTATAAAACACACATCTAACTACAACACAATTATATATTCATTCTGCTTTCAGTAGTCCAGGAACTAAGGAAAAAAAGGCTCATGTCTTATGTCTTTCTATATACATTTCTGCATATGCATCTATATAAAATTTTTTATCATATTTGAGAAATTAAACAATGATGATACGGTAAATTGTATTACATATTATATATAAAATCAGACATTACTATTATCTTTGTACAATTTATATGCAGTGTCTAAACACATATATTAGTTCTGATTGTCAAAGACTGTTGCTTTTCAATAATCAAAAATAAATTATAAGCCCTGTGGTATCCTTCATCTGAAAACATTAGAAATTTGCCTTTATTTATAATGTATTTATTATAAAGTACTTTCCTGTATTTGTATTGTATAACCTCTGGGTTTTGCTTTCTGAAGTATTTAATAAAGAAGCCTAGAAACTATTTTAGTTGTTTAGTAGGTGTATTCCTTTTGTTAGCCTGCACTTGTATTACAGAAGAGCTTAGAAAAGAGGCTGTGACCTTTGAGGCGTTGCCATTTGAATAAATTGTTAAACTGAGTTCTTATACCATTTTTTTTCATGAGAATTCGACCTCAATGGTTTGACAGCTTTAATTAGTAAAACGCTACTAAGTTCACTTTGCAGCATCCATAATCTTGGTTGTTCCTCAGAATTCTTTTTAATTATTGGTAGGAAGTCATCACAAACTGTGCCATAAAACTGAGAGAGGTGTTAGTATATATCAGAGATACTAGTTGGGTGTATCATATGTTTTTATATGGAATTTGTGAATCATAATTGTATCAATAAAATGTTGAGATCCCCTGGGCTGAGAAGTGATGTCTAAAAATGCAGGGTAAAAGATTTTTAGGTATATTTACTCAAAAACCTCAAATATAAATGATACTGAAATAAAATATTTTTTATATACTACAGGGACATGACTGTAAATTAATGATCATGGGTTTTTTAAAAACAAAACATACAATTCTTCAAAGTTATTATCCTTTAGTTCAGAGAGATTTTTTAAAAAGTCAAGATTTTCAGAAATTTTATGGGGAACTGCCCAACTTTGATGTACTTTTTGTAGACCTTATTTTCCAAAGATAGGTTCTTAGAATTCCTGGTTAAAGAATTTTAAGGTTTTTGTCACCCAAATTTACTGGTTTTTTTTCTGAAAAAGTTTTATGGGGTAGATTAAGCCTAAATTAAATTAATTCTGTTCCTTGACAAACCAAAATGAATTAAGGAATGAAAGAAACACTGTAAACATATCTCAGTTTAAGGAATCCATTTTTGTACTTAAAGTATTTGATGTGGTTCCATGTTATATGTGCAAAGGGAAAATTGAATGCAGTAAATTCACTCAGAATTAAAAAAAAAAAAAAAAAAAAAGTAAAAAAAAAATATATATAACGTAAAGAAAGAGTATCAATTGTTCAGTTAGAATAAGTTACATATCTAATTTAAGACCTTGTCTCTATTGATTGTCAATACATTATGTTCTCAAACATACTACTTTATATTCCTTCCAGAATCATAGGTATTTCTTTACGCTCCCTGGTAACTAATTTCCTTTTCTATTTCTTGAAGTAAGTTTTTTTTGGTGGGTAGTTTTTTTTGTCCATTCTTTTCTAACCACTGCTGAGATCTTAATCTCTGTGGTACATACTGCAAATAAATTGCAAAAGTAGGTGAGTTAGAATGACCTTTTGCTGATTGTATTTTCTACTTTTCAGATTAACATAAATTTACCTTACTTTTGCAAAATAATGTTTTTTGTCCTGGGGTATAATTTCTCTATAATACACATACACGAGCCATGATGATTAGTGGCTTACAGTCAGAGTTATGCAAGATTCAAGTATTGGTCCTGCACTTACTGGTATTTGTATTTACTCCATAAATATTGGTGCAAGTGGCTGGTTATATGCTTTGTTTTAATACTTTTCTGAACACTGTTAGTGTAGTCAGCACTAAATTGCAAAATTGGCATATTCTACAAGAATTAGAAGTAATTTATTTTTTTTTTTTTTATACCTAGATAGACCAGATGGTCTTTTTATACTAATGTCCAGTTTGTGAGTAGGCTGTGACAATCATCAGCTCTATTCTGTCATCCTAATCTGGTTCTGGCCAGTCAATGTTGGACCTTTAGATGAGTATCCTACATATTTATGTTGTTTACCTGTCATCACAATTTTGTAATTTTCTTTTCTCTGCAAATATTAAACTTTATTTTCAGTCTTGTCTTGTGAACTGCAATCTTTTGAAATGGATTTCCAGAAGCATCAGAATTTGAAAGTAGCTGTGCCTCCAATTGTTTAAAAGACTGCCCAGAATTCTTAATTCTTCTCTTGCCTGAATTCTAGTCTTTCAGGGAGCCTCTGTTATCAGTAAAACACTACTTTCCAGGAAAAAAAAAAAAATAAAAAAATTGGACCTGAATCTTGTCATTCATTAATCACCCCTAGCTCAAAAAACATCCCATAAATACTATCTCTACTACAAACATTTATCAATTTCATTTATCAGATAAATTCAAACTTCAGTATTATGTTAGCAGTGAAATTAAATTAATGAAGTTTAATAATGCCTTTCTTACAGTGGAAAGACTTCAAACTCAAAGAAAAAAACCAAACACAGTAACTTTTATTTCATTTTTCTTTTTACATCTTTCTCTCTCTTGTTCTTTTTCCTCTTGATAGAACTCCCACCTTTTTTTTTCCTTCCTTTCTTTGGTAATGAGAGTCCTTAGAAAGTCTTCAGCTTTGTCTTAAGCAGTGTATGGTGCAGCATCAGTTCTTTAAAAAATTTCTTCTTTCTTGCTCCTTTCTCCTTAGTATTAGTATTGTCTATATATTCTTGTTCCGTAACTGCTGTCTTTCATTTAGGATTTGTAAACTCCCTGTGTGCAGTAAACATCTAATTTTTAAGCTCTTTCTTCATGCCTTTACTCATATTTTACTGGGGGGTTTCTAGTGGTCTTTTTTTCTTGGTTTTTTGTTGTTTTTTTTTTTTGCTGAGGCAGTCTGAATTAGAAGTTTGCCATGTTATAGAAACTGAGTAAGAAACATCTTAGATGCATGGGATCAAATATGAAGGTACTTAGGTACTTAGTTACTAGTTCCTTCAATTTCTCAGCATTTACTTGCTTAGCAGACTTCCTAGAAGATTATGGTAAAATTTATGAGTTTTTTCTTAGAAATATCTAGAAATGCTGTAAATTTATATAGGATATTTACAGCAATTATCATCAGCAAAATTCTGAACCCAATTTACCTTAGAAATCACAACTACTGTCACAATTTTAAGAATAAATCTATCTTTTCATATAACCACATATGGTTATATGACCCCATGAATGTTATTGGACAAGCATTTTGTCCAGTAAAAGATAGTGAGATGGTTCCATACTATAACATTTTTTGTGCTCAGAAAATGAAGGCGTATAATAGATGAAAAAAGGTTGTATACTTCTGAAGTAATTAAAATTTACTAGGCTTTGATAGCTAGTAGAAATGCATAAATATTGTTTTG